AGTCCTGGGCCCAAATGATCCTCCCACTTCAGCCTTTCAAGCAGCTGTGACAACAGGCATGAACCACTACACCAGCTCATTTTAAAAAATTGTATTTAGAGATGGAGTCTTTACTGTGGAGGCTGGTCTTGGACCCCTGGCCTCAAACAATCATCCTGTCTCAGCCTCCCAAGTAGCTGTGTCACCATGCCTGGCTAAATTTTGTGTTTGTTTTTATTTTTTGTACAGACAGACTCTCACTATGTTGCCCAGGCTGGTCTCCAAATCCTGACATCAAACAGTCCTCCTGCCTCAGCCTCCCAATGTGCTGGGATTATAGGCGTGAGCCACCACACCCAGAAAAAAATAAAGAGCCTTTTCATGCTTTTTTTTTTTTCACACAAACAACTAAACAAATCCTCACTAAATCATCAAAGAACCCTAAATTGGAAGCGTGTGGTGTGGTAGGACTTGCTGCAAACTCCATACCACAGCCCCAGTAATTATTTTAGATTTCACAGCACATTTTGGTGGGGAGAGAGATGTCACCTTGGGCGGCGTTTCTTCTGCAGAATCCATGGGACTGAACCTTGTCAGAGACAGTTGCCCGAAGACATCAGTGTGCTTGAGGACAGTGTGAAATATGCAGCTTTTGCTAATGACCTAACTGCATTAGCAGTGACACTGGGTTTGGTGGACAAGTTTCAAGGACAGGAACCCACACCCACTGAACGCAACACATTCAGCCAGTCAGAACTCACAAAAGCTCTGGTCAGAAGCTGGCTGTCCAACTGAGGGCTTTTCTTTTCTTTTCTTTCCTTTTTTGAGATGGAGTCTCACTCTATCACCCAGGCTGGAGTGCAGTGGTGAGATCTTGGCTCACTGCAGCCTCCACCTCCTGGATTCAAGCGATTCTCCTGCCTCAGCCTCCTGAGTAGCTGGGATTACAGGAGCCTGCCACCATGCCCGGCTAATTTTTGTATTTTTAATAGAGACGGGGTTTCACTATGTGGGCCAGGCTGGTCTTGAACTCCTGACCTCAAGGGAGCCACCCACCTGAGCCTCCTAAAGTGCTGAGATTACAGGCATGAGCCACCATGCCAGGCTGGGTCTGTTGTCTGTAACCATCAGATCCTAAAAGGGAGAGTAGTCAGATGGTTCTTCTTTTTCTTTCTTTTTTTTATTTTTATTTTTTTGAGGCAGGGTCTCAGGGTCTCAGGGTCTCACTCGGTCACCTAGATTGGAGTGCAGTGATGCGATCATGGCTGACTGCAGCTTTGAACTCCAGTGCTAAAGTGATCCTTCTGCCTCAGCCTCCCAAGTAGCCGGGACCACAGGCATACACCACCACACCAGCTATGAATAATTTTTACTTTTTTTTTTTTTAGAGATGAGGTCTTGCTATATTATCCACTGGTTTCAAACTCCTGGGCTCAAGCAATCCTCTCCTCTCAGCCTCCCAAAGTGCTGGGATTACTGGTGTGAGCCACGGTGCCCGGCCAAGTGGTTCTTAATAAGTAACATCTCAGCTGTGGGGAAAAAAGTGAGCTAAGAGGAACGAAAATGCAACCTGAATATGTGTTTCAGGAGGAGGGGCCGTGATTAGCTATGTCAGCTCTGTTACGGCATATGTCATCTGGCAACCTTATCTTTCCTTGCTTTTTCCACAATAATCATGTACAAATTTTCCCTTCCTTGGGGTGGGAAAGGAGGAGGGAGAGCTGTCATGGGGGTGGAGCACGGTGACCAGGGAGTAGGCGTCTGCACAGAAATGCAGCTGGTGTGCATCCAATAGGTGCGGTACAGTGAATGAATGGAGCGATTTAAAGTGCAGACGGACTTAGGTGTGAATCCCCCCACCAGCTCTCTGTGAGCTTGGACGAGTTCCTTAACCTCCCCAGGCCTCAGCTCTCTCATCTGTAAAATGGGAATGATAACTGTACTTGCTTTTCAGATGTCTAGAAGCTCTTTTTTTTTTTTCCTTTGGTTTTAAGAAACAGAGAGTTTAATAGGCAAGAAAGAAGGAAGAAGCTCCCCTGTACAGAGACAGGGGAAGGGGGGCTCCAAAGTCAAGAGGACTTTAACAGCTTTTTAACAAAGAGAGCAGTTGTGATTATTGTCATTGTCATCATCACTGCTATTGTTAGATGAAAGCAGAGAAAGAAGTTCCAATAGGTCAATGAAATAGAAGTAGAAGAGAGGAGCATTAGAGAGTGGAAGCTGGATCGAAGAGCTGTAGGTCAGAAGTTTAGAAATCGGGCCAGGCATGGTGGCTCACGCCTGTAATCCCAGTACTTTGGGAGGCCGAGGCGGGTGGATCACTTGAGGCCAGGAGTTCAAGACCAGCCTGGCCAACATAGCGAAACCCTATCTCTACAAAAAATACCAAAAATTAGCTGGGCATGGAGGCTGAGGCATGAGAATTGCTGGAATTCGGGAGGTGGAGGTTGCGGTGAGTCGAGATCATGCCACTGTACTCCAGCCTGGGTGACAGAGTGAGACTCTGTCTCAAAACTAATAATAATAATAGATAATAAAAATAAATAATAAAAATTAGTTCAGAAATCTGAAAACAGTAAACATTGGTTCAGTAAAGGAAGGAGGAAGGTGGTCTTGGGGGAATACCTGGGCTGAAGTAATTGTTTCTGGTTGGTTTTTATGAATGGCTTTTTCCTGGTGGCAGAATGGGTCAATTTTCTCTTTTTACGTTTTTTGGGTTTTTTGTTTTTGTTTTTGTTTTTGAGACAGAGTCTTGCTCTGTTGCCCAGCCTGGAATTACAGGCATGAACCACCATGCCCAGCTTTATTTATATTTTTATTTATTTATTTATTGAGATGGACTCTTGCTCTGTCGCCTAGGCTGGAGTGCAGTGGTGTGATCTTGGCTCACTGCAACCTCCACCTCCCGAGTTCAAGTGATTTTCTTGTCTCAACCTCCTGAGTAGCTGGGATTACAGGCATCCGGCACTAAGCCTGGCTAATTTTTATTTATTTACTTTTTTGTTTTTAGTAGAGACAGGATTGCACCATGTTGACCAGGCTGATCTCAAACTCCTGACCTCAGGTGATCCACCCGCCTTGGCCTTCCAAAGTGCTGGGATTACAGCCGTGAGCCACCGTGCCTGGCCAGTTCTGTTAAATTTAAAGCCCACGATATTAGCCTGGATCAGTCCTGTTTCTCACAGTCTCTCCCACCTGAGATTTGCTGCGGAGGGGAAGGGGGTCTCTCTCTTAAAGGGGTAGTACATGTGCATTGCTCTTATCACTGCTTGGTTCTTAGCTCTTACCTCAAAGGAGGGCTGGTCATGGATGGAACCTGGGTTTCATTCTCGGTAAAGTCTCCTGCATCAAATCAATGGTCCAACGCCATGATTATTGCTTTAATTAAACTCTCATCAGCCCTCACTACGGTGTACTATAGCTTCCCAAATGGCACATAGATCTGTGATGTTTAATGTAACAGAAAAAGAATATTTGAACACGTGATATATTTACTCAATTTAAAACCTGAGACAATATAATATGCAGGCTCCCATTCATCCTTCCCACTCTCCCTGCCTCCCTGCCCACAGGTGTCCACTCCTCTTAGTTTTATACACATCCGTCCAGAGTTTATGCACATATAAGTAAATGAAAATATTGATTATATTCTCCCCACTCCCTGCTTTTTTTTTTTTTTTTTTTAACACAAAGGGGCTTCTTATAGACATGGTTCTGCGTTTTCATTTTCTCCTTTCTTTTTTCATACCATTTATGCCTTGGCTCTGGCTGTTCCTTCTTTTGCAAACTCTTCCTCCAAAACTCAGAGGGAGCTCTCACTCTTCTACAAATCTTTGCTCAAAGGTCACTTCTCAATGACACCTCCCCTCCGCACCCTACTTTATTTGAGACAGGGTCTTGCTGTCTCAAGCCTGTTGCCCAGGCTGGAGCGCAATGGTGCAATCTCAACTCACTGCAGTGTGACCTCCTGGGTTCCAGCGATCTTCCCACCTCAGCCTCCCGAGTAGCTGGGATTACAGGCGCATACCACCATGCCTGGCTAATTTTTAATTTTTTTTTTGAGACAGGGTCTCATTAAGTTGCTCAGGCTGGTCTCAAACTCCTGGGCTCAAGTAAGCCTCCCGCCTCAGCCTCCCAAAGTGCTGAGATGACAGGTGTGAACCACTGGGCTGGCCTCACTCCATCTTAAATTGCACTCCCACATCCTCAGTATCCTTGACTTCACTCTACTTTTTAAAATGACATTTATCATATTTTAGCATCTCACACAATTTACTTACTGTCTCTGTCTACTCCCATTAGGAGAAGGGAAGCTCTATAAAGGGCAGAGAGCTTTGATTTATTAGCTCCTGGTTTTAAGTGCCCAGAGGAGTGTCTGGTATGTAGAGGATACCCAGTGTGCATTTCCAATCGGAGTTTTAACCCCCATTTAAAAGGTATCATCTCCTTTGCTTACGGAAGCTTCATAAAGCAGAATGTATTAGGCTGGGTGCAGTGAATCACACCTGTAATCCCAGCACTTCGGGAGGCTGAGACAGGAGAATCACTTGAACACAGGAGTCTGAGAACAGCCTGGCCAACATAGTGAGACCTGCATCTCTACTAAAAAATAAAGAAAAAAATAGCTGGGCATGGTGTCATGTGCCTGTAGTCCCAGCTACTCAGGAGGCAGAAGTGGAAGGATCTCTTAAGCCCAGGAGATGAAGGCTGCCGTGAGCTATGATCGTGCCTCTGACTTCCAGCCTGGGTGACAAAGTGTCTCAGGAAAAAAAAAAAACAAAAACACATAATGTGTTGAGTTTTCCCCTTTGCAAATATCATCAGCTTTGGATTTGTCATTCATATTCATAAAAGTAAGAAATAAAAGAGCATGTAGAGCAATGGAAAGCAGGAAGCAGTCAAGGAGGAAGGGAAAAAGCAAATGAGAGAAGAAATGGAGGAAGAAAAAAGCACCAACTTCAGCCACCCTAAGGAAAGAAACAAAGAGAAGGAAGAAGCTTGCTCAGGCCACTGTCCTGTACCTGATCCGTGCACCAGTACCAGAGGGACGGGATGGACATTCCAAATAGGACCCCTGGCCATGGGAGATCAGATGTCAGCGGATCTCGGAAAATATGGAAGGCATCTTCTCGGGGCAGCCCACAGCTGCTGTTCTCGCTCCGGTTGCTAGCCAGGGCCAAGAAGTACTTCTCCTTCAGGCCTTCCATCCCACCAACTGCAGCAAAACCTAGAATTCAGGGGAAGCCTGTTTGCCAGGGGAACTCAGCTAGGTCCGTGACAAGTGATGAGGAGATGGTTGGAGATTGGTGAAATTCTGATAAGAGCAGAGCCACCAAAAAATGTTGATGCCTTTAAGAGTTCTTAACCTCCCCCCACCCCCCACTTTTTTTAACTTAAAAAATAATAATAGAGTTTTATTGGACTATAACTGACCGAGCCATGCATTGCAAATATTTAAAGTGTAAAATTTGATAAGTTTGACATCAGTATTCACCCATGAAACCTCCGCCACAAAGTAACAAGTGTATCTATTCAAGTTTCTTTTCTTTTTTCTTTTTCTTTTGAAAGGGAGTCTTGCTCTGTCTCCCAGGCTGGAGTGCAGTGGTGTGATCTTGGCTCACTGCCACCTCTGCCTCCCAGGTTCAAGTGATTCTCCTGCCTCAGCCTCCCAAGTAGCAGAGATTAAAGGCATGCACCACAAAGCCTGGTTAATTGTTGTATTTTTAGTAGAGATGGGGTTTCACCATACTGGCCAGGCTGGTCTCAAACTCCTGACCTCAAGTGATTCTCCTGGCCATTGTCCCAGGCCACTGTATATTCTTTAAGCCTATTGACTTCCCCCCAAAATAATTTACTACCTCCTAAAATAATCTATACTTGCCCTAAGAAGGGTGTCACTTATTTGTAACCTCAAACTCCTGGGCTTAAGCAATCCTCCTGCCTCAGCCTCCAGAATAGTTAGGACTACAGGCATGTACCACCGGTGTATATCCGGTGACTTTTTAAAGTCTTTTGTAGAGACGGATCTCGCTATGCTGTCCAGGTTGGTCATGAACACCTAGGCTCAAGCAATTCTCCTGCCTCGACCTCCCAAAGTGCTAGGATTATAGGCATGAGCCTCCTTTTTTGGCTCTTTTCAGAGAAATAGATATTGGGTGGGACGAGATTGCTCATGCCTATAATCCCAGCACTTTGGGAGGCCAAGGCAGGCAGATCACCTGAGGTCAGGAATTCCAGACCAGCCTGGTCCACATGGGGAAACCCTGTCTCTACTAAAAATACAAAAATTAACCACATATGGTGATGCGTACCTGTAATCCCAGCTACTAGGGAGGCTGAGGCAGGAGAATCACTTGAACCCGGGAGGCAGAGGTTGCAAGTGAGCCAAGATTATGTCACTGCACTCCAGCCTGGATGACAGAGCGAGATTCCATCTCAAAAAAAAGGCTGGGAGCTCATGCTATAATTCCAGCATTTTGGGAGGCCAAGGCAGGTGGTTTGCTTGAGCCCAGGAGTTTGAAACCAGCCTGGGCAACATGGTGAAACCCCATCTCTTAAAAAAAATTTTTTTTAATTAGCTGGATGTGGTGGTGCACACCTGTGGGCCCAGCTACTTGGAGGCTTGAGCCCAGCAGGCAGAGGTTGCAGTGAGCCAAGATTGTCACTGCACTCCAGTCTGGGCAGCAGAGTGAGACCCTATCTCAAAACAAATGAAACCTTCTATAAGTAAGAGCTGTCTCTTCATCTTCTTTTATTTATTTATTCAATTATTTTTCCATATTAGTACAGAAAGAGATTAATTTTTACTTAAACAAAAAACAGTTCTAGGTAGGGTGGCTTTGGGAGGCTGAAGTAGGAGGATCACTTGAGGCCAGGAGTTTGAGATCAGCCTGGGCAACACAGTGAGACTCCATCGCTACAAAAAAACAAAATAATAAAACAATTAGCTGGACATAGTGGCTTATAGCTGTAGTCCCAGCTACTCAGGAGGTTGAGGTGGAAGAGTCATTTGAGCCCAGGAGCTCAGGGCTGCAGTGAGCTGTGATCACACCACTGCACTCTAGCCTGAGTGACAGAGCAAGACCATGTCTCAATAAAAAAAGCAAAAAACCAAAACAGTACATTTCCACAGTAAGCACAGTTCTCTTCTAGCTAAAATAACTGTGCTTCAAGCAAAGCGTCCATGTCAAAAATCCCCCAGTAGTATGCTCTTTGACAGCTGGGTTTGCCTCTCACAGTGATGAGAGTAGATATCCCTGCTTGGGAGACGTGCTGTTGTCCACCCAAGTAACCCTGGGACCCCACTTACTGTAGCCCATCAAGGTGAGTGCTCCTATAAGCATGATCAGCGTCTGCAGAGCATCCGTGTAGATCACAGCAGCCAGGCCACCTGGTGGGATGAGCACAGAGGTGAGGCTCAGGGAGTCTGAAGAGAAGGGGTTACTCTGGGTCATCAAGGAAACCTGGAAGACGAGGACCCGACAGGAGATTTCGTGGTGCTGACTGATTGCAAAGATGGCCACGATCACTCCTCCCTGTGTGCATGCCCATTTAGCAATGTGACTTTGCCACTCCTTTCATGATGAGGGAAATTGATTTCTCTACTTCTCAAAGGGGCTTGGCCACGTGACTTGCTTTGACCAGTAGAATATGGGGGAAGTGATATTATGCATCTCCAAGCCTGGGCCTCAAGGGTCCCTGCTGCTTCTGCACTTATTCTCCTGTTGCCCTGAGACCATTTACTTTAAGAAACCTGGTCTAGGCTGGGCACGGCAGCTCACACCTGTAATCCCAGCACTTTGGGAAGCCAAGGCAGACGATCACGAGGTTAAGAGATCGAAACCATCCTAGCCAACATGGTGAAACTCCATCTCTACTGAAAAACAGAATCAGCCAGACTTGGTGGCACATGCCTGTAGTCCCAGCTACTCGGGAGGCTGAGGCAAGAGAATTGCTTGAACCTGGGAGGCGGACATTGCAGTGAGCCAAGATTGTGCCACTGCACTCCAGCCTGGCAACAGAGTGAGACTCCATTTCAAAAACAAACAAACAAAAGAAGCCTGTTCTAACCTAAAGGAGGAAGAGAGCCCCCATGAAGGGGAAGCCCAGTCCACAGCCCAAGCTAACACCAGCCGTGTGAGTGAGGCCATCCTGTTCCAGCCAGTTGCTCCACCTGCCACTGAACTATAATTCACAGAGCCAGGTGAGACCAACAGACAGACACCCAGGCAACCCATGGACTTTAGGGGAATAAAAAAACCATTGGTTTTTCAAGCCCCTCAATTTGTGGGTGGTTTTATAACAGCAATTTTCAACTAATATAGGAAGCAGTGCTTGGGCCACAGTCCCCAAGCTCTGAACACCTTTATTTATTTATTTATTTATTTATTTATTAATTAATTAATTAGAGCCAGGGTCTCACTCTGTCAACCCAGACTGGAGAACAGTGGTGTGATCATAGCTTGCTGTAGCCTAGACCTCCTGGGCCCAAGTGATTCTCCCATCTCAATGCCCCAAATGGCTGGGACTATAGGCACACGCCACCATGCGCAGCTAGTTTTTAAATTTTTTCTAAAGATGAAATGTTGCCATGTTGCCCAGGGTGGTCTCAAACTCCTGGCTTCAAGTAGTCCTCCTGCCTCAGCCTCCCAAGGTGCTGGGATTACAGGTGTGAGCAACTACACTCAGCCAACACCTTTATTTTTAAGACTGAAAAGAGGTTGTGAGTATTAGTATTCAGAGGCCCCATAGACTTCCTGAAGACGGTCGTGGTGGTGCCTCAGAGGACTCTCGTTGAGTTTGCCACCTGCAAAAATCTTTGAAATGGGTGGGACAAGGTGGCTCATGCCTGTAATCCCAGCACTTTGGGAGGCTGAGGCAGGGGTTCAAGATGAGCCTGGCCAACATGGTGAAACCCTGTCTCTACAAAAAATACAAAAATTAGCCAGGTGTGGTGGGGCATGCCTGTAATCCCAGCTACTCGGAAGGCTGAGACAGGTGAATCGCTTGAACCCGGGAGGTGGAGGTTGCAGTGAGCCGAGATCGCACCACTGGACTCCAGCCTAGGCAACAGAGCAAGACTTTGTCTCAAAAAAAACAAAAAACAAAACAAAACAATCTTTGTAATGATGATACTGGTAGCAAATCCATCAGCATCTGGATAGAGCAATCTTTCCAGTCTCTTCCTTACACCTCATTCTTCCTCCTTCCCTGAGGAGAAGGGACAGTTATCTGATAGGAATATGTCTACTGGAGGGCACAGTCACTGTGCAATTAAAAAAACCCATTGCCCCGAGGTCAAGAGATTGAGACCCTTTTGGCCAACATAGTGAAACCCCGTCGCAACTAAAAATACAAAAATTATCTGAGTGTTGTGGCGCACGCCTGTAGTCTCAGCTACTTGGGAGTCTGAGGCAGGAGAATCGGTTGAATTTGAGAGGCAGAGGTTGCAGTGAGCCTAGATCGTGCCACTGAACACACTCCAGCCTGGCAATAGAGCGAGGCTCCGTTTCAAAAAAAGAAAGGAAAAGAAAAACCGTGCCCATGGGTGAGGTGTTCTCCAGGATCCTTCCTTCCTTGCCAGCAGGAATAGGACTCTCTCACAAAGGGGAGGAGACCTGGCGTTGATTCTGGCCCCGTTCCCTGCTGTTCGCTCACGCTGTGAGTCAGCCTGAGTGTGGTGAGGTCCTGGTGTTGGGTACCACTTAACCCCACCATCCTTTCTAAATTAATAGTGATGAGGATCTCCCATATGCCAGGCACTGTGGGGAGCATTTCGTTCAGTCATTCACAAAATAGCTAGTGAGCTCCTCACCAGGTTCTACATGGTAGAGATGCAGAGGTCAACAAAATGGCATGTTCCCTACCCTCATAGAGCCCACAGCCTAATGGGGGACACAGACCTCCAAACAAGGAACACCAACATTCACCAGTTATGGCAGCCTGCCCTCCCCTTTCCCCCTGCCCCAGGCACATGGCTTCTGCTAGTTCTGAGAACTCAGCAAAGGTCTTTCTCCATCAGGGGACTCTACATATGTTAGATTTCCTCAATTTTCTGTTTAGAGCATCCAATAGTGTTCCATGGAACTTAAAACAAATGCTAGGCTCGGTTTATTTCCTTCAGAGCTCTGGTTCCTGCCCTTTTTCCAATCCCACTCTTAGCACCAGGGTTGCTGCTACAGTGCCAAAGGGTGCCATTTTCACTCTGCTTGGTGTGAATGGCACCGCTGGAGTGGAATAAGACAACCTGCATAACCACTTGCTGGAGCAGGCTCTCATCTCAGAGTTCTTATTGCAGCCCTTCCCTCAGTCTGGAATTCTCCTCCTCTGCATTGCCTGTGGTTGTTATTAAAACCTGGTTGAATTGGGTGAGGTGGCTCACACCTGTAATCCCAGCACTTTGGGAGGCCAAGATGGGCGGATCATGAGGTCAGCAGTTCAAGATCAGCCTGGCCAACATGGTGAAACTCCGTCTCTACTAAAAATACAAAAAATTAGCCGTGCATGGTGGCAGGCGCCTGTAATCCCATCTACTCGAGAGGTTGAGACAGGAGAATTGCTTGAACCTGGGAGGTGGAGGTTGCAGTGAGCTGAGATCATGTCACGGCACTCCAGCCCAAGCAATGAGAGCAAAACTCTTTCTCCAAAAAAAAAAAAAAAATTGAATTGGTTGAGACATGAAAAAATGCACATCATCACTAATCATCAGAAAAATGCACAGGCTGGGTGCAGTGGCTCACACCTGTAATCCCAGCATTTTGGGAGGCTGATGCAACAGATCACTTGAGGCCAGGAGTTCAAGACCAGCCTGGCCAACACAGTGAAACCCTGTCTCTACCAAAAAATACAAAAATTAGCCAGGCATGGTGACTGGCACCTGTAGTCTCAGCTACTCAGGAGGCTGAGACAGGAGAATCACTTGAATGCGGGAGATGGAGGTTGCATCAAGCCAAGATTATACCACTGCACTCCAGCCTGGTGACAGAGGGAGACCCTGCCAAAAAAAAAGAGAAAAAAGAAAGAAAGAGAGAGAAAGAAAAAGAAAAATACAAACTACTACCACAATGAGATACTATCTCACACCAGTCAGAACAGCTTTATTTTTTAATTTTATTTTTTTGAGACAAAGTTTCACTTTGTCACCCAGGCTGGAGTGCAGTGGTGTGATCTTGGCTCACTGAAACCTCCACCTCCTGGGTTCAAGTGATTCTCTTGCCTCAGCCTCCAGAATAGCTGAGACTACAGGCGTGCACCACCATGCCCAGCTATTTTTTTAATTTTTAGCAGAGATGGGTTTTCACCATGTTGGCTCAGTTGGTCTCTAACTCCTGACCTCAGGTGATCCACGTGCCTCGGCTTCCCAAAGTGCTGATATTATAGGCACAAGCCACCACACCTGGCCTGACATTATTTATTGATTTCCCTGTTCATTGTTTGCCTCTCATCCTCACTTAAATTCCTCTGGAGTAGAGATATTTGTCTTGTCTACATCTGTGCCTCACTCCCTAGTATGATGTCCGGCACATAGTTGGAAATGTATATACACATAGGCATACAAGTATATGTAAATACATAATATATAGATACAAGGTACAAAATATATCGACACCAGGTGTGTGTGTGTCTGTGTGCGCACACACACACAAGCACACAGACACACACATATATATGCAATGAGTTACATTATGCCAAGAGGAGGCAGAGAAGGGTAAACATAGAGTGGAAGATAAGATAATGAATATTTAAAAACAGGTACTTCTCAAGACCCTACTGTGTGCCAGGCATTCTTCTAGGATACAGGTGTAATGGGGAGAGATGAGGTTATCTGCCCTCAGGCTTCAGGATCGCAGTAGTTTATTACCCAGCCTTGTATTGTGCCTGTGACTGCACACGGCTCAGCAGTTAGTAGGTGCTCAGGAAACAGTTCTGGGACATTATCAGGAAAAACATTATGCCATTGTGGTGTATTTTTAAAATGCTTTATATTTTTTTCTTTTTTGAGATGAAGTCTCACTCTATCACCCAGGCTAGAGGGCAATGGCATGATCTTTGCTCACTGCAACCTCCACCCCCCAGGTTCAAGCAATTCTTCTGCCTTAGCCTCCTGAGTAGCCGGCATTACAGGTGCCCACCACCACATCCGGCTAATTTTTGCACATTTAGTAGAGATGGGGTTTTGCCATGTTGGTCTGGAATTCCTGACCTCAACTGATCCACTTGCCTTGGACTCCCAAGTGCTGATATTATGGGCATGAGTCACTGTGCCCGGCCTAAAATGCTTTGTCTTATCAGGCAGCCCTCTTCCTTTGGTTAATGGTCAAAAGAAATCTTTTTATCTAGGGTAAAGGAATGACGTTTAATGAATAAATGGGTCTTAGCATAATGGAACATCAGAAGATGGGCAAGAAGAAGATGAAGTGGCCCACAGCCCCTGCCCACTGCCTCTGCCAGGTGTTACCCTCCATTCAGTCTTACCAGCAACTGTGTATACAGCAGTGATGGCTAACAGCCCCACTATGGCCAGGTACAGATCCAGGTGCAAAGACTGTTGGATAAAGATGGCACCTGCATACATGTCTACCTGCGGAGAAAGGAAGTTGATGGATGAATGAATTAATGGACATTTTCGGCACAGGTTCCCTGGGACCAGGGCCTAGCCAGATTCTGACAAACACAGAAGAGTCATGCATTGTCCCTTCTTCATCCATCGCATCCCAGATCAGGAGTCTTATGCTGGAGCCCTGCGCACCCTGGGCTAACGCAGCAGCCTCCTCAGTGGTCTTCTTGCTTCTGCCTTTGGTCCTCTTACACTCCATCCTCCACACTGCAACCTTCTTCACATACTATCATGATCACATCATCCTTCTCCTCCCCATTCAAACTCTTAAGTGACTCTCCCATTGCCCCCAAGATAAAGGCTAAATAAATAAGGCTAAATACTCACTTCTTACTCCCAGTCCTCCACAGACTTTGAAATATCCCCCATTTCTCCAACAATATCCCGCATTTCTCCAACAAGTCATGTGTACCTGGGCCTCCCAGATTTCGTTTGTGCTGGTGCATCCATCTGGAGGGCCAATCCCCTTTCTCTAACTGATAAGTTCCTCTGGGGATGTCACTTCCCCTAGAAGGCTTCCCACATCTGCAGCTTCCCACTAGACTGCAAGTGAACATTCTAGAAAGGAGCTTGTGTGTCTGTCCTGCAGTCTGGAGCTGGTGTAGAGTCACTTATTGTTGTTTGGATTCAATGGAACCCCTTCTGCTTCCCCTCACCCCTTCCCATAGGACAAGCTCCTCCCTCCTCCCCAGCTGGAAGTGGAGACAGCTTCTGTTGAGGGGCAAGTGTCTGGAGGTTGCCATACACCTGTTCTTTGCCACTTCCTAGGAGATCTGCCCATCCAAAGGTCAGGGTGGGGCAGATGCAATCAGCCATCAGCACATCTGATAAATAGCTGATAAATATCTAATTGCAGGAGGAAGAGAACAGTCCTATCCAAGGGTTGGCAGGGTTCTTGGAGTCCCATTGAGCAACCCACACCATCTTGAGATGTTGCCAAAGAAACTTGGCAGGAGTAGGAGAGAAAGTCCTTCCCTCCTTTTCTCCTTTTTTCTTTCTTTCTTTTTTTTTTTTTTTTGAGACAGAGCCTTGCTCTGTTGCCCGGGCTGGAGTGCAGTGGTGTGATCTCAGCTCACTGCAACCTCTGCCTCCTGGGCTCAAGCAATTCTCCTGCCTCAGCCTCCCGAGTAGGTGGGACTACAGATCTGCACCACCACGCCTGGCTAATTTTTGTATTTTTTGGCAGAGATGGGGTTTTGCCATGTTGGCCAAGCTTGTCTCGAACTCCTAACCTCAAGTGATACAGCTGCCTCAGCCTCCCAAAGTGCTGAGATTACAGGCATGAGCCACTGAATCCTCCCATTTTCTCCCCGTTTCCTCTGTCCACACTTACCCCCCCCCAACCCCTTCTTCCTCTAACCTCCCTGCAGCCTACGAAAGAGGAGAAAGGGGATGGGGAGGAGACACTCCTGAGCAATGATCTGTGCCTTATCTTCTCCCCGTGCTGCACGGGTGTGGCCAGGCTGTATCCCTGCCTTACCGAGATCTTGGTGAAGATGTAGATAAATAGGTAGAGTACCGCCAGGATGATAGGGATTCTGGTGCCACCAAAGCGCTTCCGTAGGTATTCTGGCATCGTGGTGACCTGAGGGCCAGAGCTGAGATTTCACCACCAGCTGACTTCACCACCAGCATGTGACCTTCCCACACCAGCCCTTCCCATCAGCTCCTGCCCACCCCACAACTCAGAGGCACAGATGGTCTTCTTGGGAGTCTCAGTCAGGGACTTAAGAAGGGACAAGAGGGGCCCAGCACGGTTGGTTCTCATCACTTTGGGAGGTTGAGACAAGAGGATCACTGGAGTCTAGGAGTTCGAGACCAGACTGGGCAACATAATAAACCCCCATTTCTACAAAAAATACACATTTTTCCTAGTTACGCGGGAGGCTGAGGCAGGAGAATTGCTTGAACCCAGAAGGTGGAGGTTGCGGTGAGCCGAGATCGTGCCATTGCACTCCAGTCTGGGTAACAACAGCGAAACTCCGTCTCAAAAAAAAAAAAAAAAATACACATTTTGTCAGGCGTGGTGGCAGGTGCCTATAGTCCCAGCTACTCAGGTGGCTGAGGTGGGAGGATCACTTGGATCTGAGCCCAGGAGATCGAGGCTGCAGTGAGCCATGATAATGTCTAAGTGACAGAGGAGAGTCTGTCTCAAAAAATATACATATGGTAGACAAAAATAAATTCTTGGTGGATAATGGATTTAATTGTGAGGCCACATATGGTGGCTTACACCTGTAATCCTAGCACTTTGGGAGGCCAAGGTGGGAGGATTGCTTGAGCCCAGGAGCTCAAGACCAGCCTGGCCAACCACTCTATTGCTACAGTAAGACCCTGTCTCTATTTTTTTTTTTTTTGAGATGGAGTCTCGCCCTGTCACCAAGGCTGGAGTGCGGTGGTGCGATCTTGGCTCACTGCAACCTCCACATCCAGGTTCAAGCGATTCTCCTGCCTCAGCCTCTCAAGTAGCTAGGACTACAGGCACCTGCCACCATGCCCGGCTAAATTTTTGTATTTTTGGTAGAGACGGAGTTTCACCATATTGGTCAGGCTGGTCTTGAACTCCTGACCTTATGATCTGCCCGCCTCAGCCTCCCAGAGTGCTAGGATTACAGGACATGAGCCACTGAGCCCACCCCCATCTCTATTTTTTTAAATAAAGACATATAACCTAATAGAAAAATGGGCAAAAGTCCTAAACAAGTTACTTCCTCAAAGAGGAAATCCAAATGGCCAGAAAATGTACAAAAAGAGTTGCCAATTAAAAGCAGTGAGATGGCCGGGTACAGTGGCTCATGCCTGTAATCCTAGCACTTTGGGAGGCTGAGGTGGGAGGATCATCTGAGGTCAGGCGTTGGAGACCAGCCTGGCCAACTTGGCAAAATTACTGTCTCTACTAAAAATACAAAAATTAGCTGGGCTCCCAGCTACTGGGGTGGGTCAGGGGGTGGGATGGGGACTGGGTGAGGCAGGAGAATTGCTCGAACCCAGGAGGTGGAGGTTGCTGTGAGCCAAGGGCATGCCACTGCCCTCCAGCCTGGGTGACAGAGTGAGACTCCCTTTCAAAAAAATTTTAAAAAGCAGTGAGATACTACTACACGCACCAAATTAGCAAGAGTTTTAAAGTAGGAGAATATCAAATGTCATCAAGGATGCAGTGAGTTACAGGAAAGGGAATTTTCATACGCTGCTGGTGGGAACACAGCCTCAGCCTACAGGCTCAAGTGATCCTAATCCTCCCACCTCAGCCCCTTGAGTATCTCAGACTATAGGTGTGGATTACCACACCCAGCTAATTTTTGTATTTTTTGTAGAGATGAGATTTTGTCATGTTGCCCAGGCTGGTCTCAACTCCTGGCCTCCCAAAGTGCTGGGATTACATACATGAGCCACCATGCCCAGCCTACTTTGTGTATTTTTAAACATTTCCATAATAAAAAGCTAAAATCAGCTATTGCTTTATGAACAGCACTGTGATGTTGTGTGATCTCGCCGTGTGCAGTAGAATGTATACAACAGAGTTCAGTTTAGAAAGATGAGTGATGCAATGCTGCCAACGAAATCATAGATGATTTTTTAAAAACTGCTTTTCTAAGAGTCAAAAGCAGCATTAGTTTGCACTAAAACGTTGACATTTTGTACCAGTCAAAAATAGCTCAATTATGATCTTTTTATATGCGAAGGAAGAAAAAAATCACAAAATCATGTATATATAATTTTTAAAAATTTTATATATTTGTGTGTGTGTATATATGTGTGTGTGTATATATATATTTTGAGACAGGGCTGGAGTGCAGTGACATGATCTCAGCTCATTGCAAACTGCAACATCTGTCTCCTGGGCTCAAGTGATTCTCATATCTCCTTAGTCTCCTGAGTACCTGGGATTACAGGTGCATACCACTATGCCTGGATAATTTTTGTATTTTTTTTAGTAGAGATGGGTTTTCACCATGTTGCCCAGTCTGGTCTCAAACTCCTAGGCTCAAGTGATCCACCCACCTTGGAAAGTGCTGGGATTACAGGCATGAGCTATATACTTCTTCTTCTTCTTCTTTTTTTTTGTAAAACATAGGCTGGGCATAGTGGCTCATGCCTGTAATTCCAGCTACTCAGATTGGGAGGCTGAGGTGGGCGGATCACTTGAGCCCAGGAGTTCAAGACTAGCCTGGGCAACATGTCGAAATTTTTTTATTTTTGACTAAAGAAAAAATACAAAAATTAGCTGGGCATGGTGGCATGCACCTGTGGTCCCAGCTTCTGGGGAGGCTGAGGTGGGAGGATCGCTTGTGACCAGGAGGCGGAGGCTGCAGTGAGCCGAGATTGCACCACCCCATTCCATCCTGGGGACAGAGCCAGACACTGTCTCAAAAAAATTTAGCAGAAACATGTTGTGATTTAAATATTTAAAAGAAATTGTGAGCTTTACATTTGTGTTTTGGTATTTAAAATTTTTGGACTCCATATTTTTTTCCAACCTCCAAATGCCCTCTGTGTGCCTTGGATATTGGGTACTGGGGGAAGCGCTACAGACTGGGTTTGTCATTGTCTCACCTGTGGATCATCCCTCCTTTTTACTGGGGCCTCTGAGTGGCAATCTGATGGATGACCATAGGCAGGAGAGAGGGATCACAGAACGAGGGAGGGACTGCAGGGCTGATATTCCCAAAGCATCTTTCAATTCTACAGCATCCCAACGCCCCCGTCCCCCCAACTCACCTGCCCAGCAATGTAGATAGGGAGGAAGATCCAGGCCAACATCAGCACAGAAAACAAGCCCTGCTCAAGAAAACACAGTCAGAACTTGGCCCCCAGCTCACAACAAGGTGCCCATTTGGATTTCCCTCTGTGCCCTGAGGCAGCCTGGCCTGAACTCCACATGTACTGTAGTCTCTAACTTGCTGAGTGGTTCACCTTTGCTGGCCTTCATGTTTCCTTTTTTTTTTTTGAGTTAGACTCTAGCTCTTGTTGCCCAGGTTGGAGGGCAGTGGTGCGATCTTGGCTTACTGCAACCTCCACCTTCCAGGTTCAAGTGATTCTCCTGCCTCAGTCTCCCAAGTAGCTGGGATTATGGCATCCACCATTATGCCTGGCTAACTTTTTGTATTTCTAGTAGAGATGAGGTTTCACCACGTTTGCCAGGCTGGTCTTGAACCCCTGACCTGAGGTGATCCTCCTGACTCGGCCTCCCAAAGTGCTGGGATTACAGGCATGAGCCACTGTGCCTGGCCCCACCATTCTATTTTTAAAGTGTAGGGCATTCACACAACTTTCCCCTGAGATCTACCTATAAGGTAGAGGTAAGATGTCATCTATGCCCTGGGTAAAGTACTTACATTAAGCTCATAAGCTGATACAGAAAGGCCTGTAGCAGCACCTGACCCTGCCAGGCCAATAAAATGTCCACTTCCAACATTGCTGGCAAACAAGGATGCGCCCACCTGTGGGGAAATGGACAGGTCAGATCGTGGGGACAAAGTTGAGGGTACCTGCTCCCCTCCCCCAATTCTGTCCATGCTCCAGAGGGACAGAGAAGAGAAGTGGAGGAAGGCAGGGCCATCCCTAGCCTATCAGTCATTTTTGTTTACATTAGAATGAGATTCTCCTTCTCCAAGCCTTTTAATTATTCAGAGCCCACCTGTCAGAAATTGGTAGATAAATATTCATGTCTACAGGACCTAAAATGCAGATCACACCACCTAGGGTGGTGAAATGCACAGCTTAAACAACTGTATGCAGCATCCCTGTGGGAGCTGGGGGGAAGATGACAGGTATTGTAGAAAGTGATTCATGGTGAGAATCAGGAAGCCTGTGTTACTCCCAAGATCTGTTTCTAACTTAGCAAAGAAGACAGTCCTCCTGGTAGAGCACTAAATGGCTAATGCTGTACTTGATGACTCCAATCCATGGTCTCAGTTGATTGGGCTGGACAGGTCTGGGTACCTGGGCAAATTATATCTCTTTCTTGGGAATTTGGAATTGGGACACCATCTCCACTGGTCCCTTGGACTGGAGATGTGTAAACCAGGGAGGTGTGTGAAGGAGTGATGTGGAGGCATGTTTCACCGAGTGCTGTTCATCACTGCCAATTCAGAGAGAGGGGAGAATGAAGACATTCACATAAAGGTAGGTCCAGCTGGGCGCTCTGGCTCACTTCTGTAATCCCAGTACTTTGGGAGTCCAAGGCGGGCAGATCACTTGAGGTCAGGAGTTCAAGATCAGCCTGGCCAACATGGTGAAACCCTGCCTCTACTAAAAATACAAAAGTTAGCCAAGCATGGTGGCACACGCTTGTAATCCCAGCTACTCAGGAGGCTGAGGCAGGAGAATCCCTTGAACCTGGGAGGTGGAGGTTGCAGTGAGCAGAGATTGCGCCTCTGCACTCCAGCCTGGGCAACAGAGACTCCGTCTGGGAAAAAAAAAAAAAAAAAAAGGCAGATCCAGTGAGGAGGGGAAAGGAGGGAGAGAGAAGAAAAAGAGGAGGCTGGGCATGGTGACTCACACCTGTAATTCCAGCACTTTGGGAGGCCAAGGCGGGCAGCTCACTTAAGGTCAGGAGTCTGAGACCAGTCCGGCCGATATGGTGAAACCCTGTCTCTGCTAAAAATACAAAAATTAGCCAGGCATGGTGGCAGGCACCTGTAGTCCCAGCTACTTAGATGGCTAAGACAAGAGAATTGTTTGAACCTGGGAGGCAGAGGTTGGAATGAGCCAAGATTGTGCCATTGCATTCCAACCTGAGCAACAGAGTGAGACTCGGTCTCAAAAAAAAAAAAAAAAAAAAAAAAAAAGAGAGAGAGAAAGCATTGTTTTTGACTGGGTGTGGTGGCTCACACCTGTAATCCCAGCACTTTAGGAGGCTGAGGCAAACAGATCACATGACGTCGGGAGTTTGAGATTAGCTTGACCAACAAGGAGCAACCCCATCTCTACTAAAAATACAAAATTAGCGAGGCGTGGTGGCACATGCTTGTAATCCCAGCTACTCAGGAGGATGAGGCAGGAGAATCGCTTGAACCTGGGAGGTGGAGGTTGCAGTGAGCTAAGATCTGGGCGACAGAGTGAGACTGTCTCAAAAAAAAAAAAAAAGTAGATCCAGTGAGGAGGGGAAAGAAGAGAGAGAGAAGAAAAAGAGGAGGAGGAAGGGAAGGAGACGGGTGGAGGAAGAGAAGAGAGGAGGGAGAATTGTGAGAGGGCCATTTTGCCTCCGTACTGACTTTCCTGTCTCTGCTTCTTATTAAATTCTATTTCATCGATCTACATGTTTATCCTTCTGTCAGTATCACACTCTCTTGATTACTGTAGCTTTGTAGTAAGTTAGTGTGAGTCCGCCAACTTTATTCTTCTTTTTCAAGATCGTTTTGGCTATTCTGGGTCCTTTGCATTTTCATATGAATTTTAGGATCAGCTTGTCAATTTCTGCAAAAAAAAAAAAGAGGAGCAGAAATTTCGATGGGGATGGTGTTAAATCTGCAGGTCTATTGGGAGGATATTGCTGCTTTAGCGATGTTAAGTTTTTGAATCAAAGAACTCAGCTTGTCTTTTTAATTAGTTCTTAAGTTTTTCCAGTGACTTTTCAGTGTATCAGCATCGTATTCTTTTGTCAAACTTATTACTAAATACTTTATTCTTTTGATGCTGTTGTAAGTGGAATTACTCTCTTAATTTCATTTTCAGGTTATTCCTTGCCAGTGTATAAAAATACAATTAATTTTTAAAAATTGATCTTATAATCTGCCATCTGACTAAACTCATTTATAATAGTGTTTCTCGGGTTGTTTAGAAGATCATGTCTTATACAAATCAAGATAGATTTGTTTCTTCTTCTTCAACATGGATACTTTTTACTTCTTTCTCTTGTGAATTGCTCTGGCTAGAACCTCCAGAAAAATGTCAAATACTGGTGGCAAAGAGGACATGTTTGTCTCATTCCTGATCTTAGGGAGAAAAACTTCAGTCTTTCACCAGTAAGTATGTTAGCTGTGGGTGATTTTGTAGATGCCCTTTATAATTTAAAGAAGTTTTCTTCTATTCCTAGTGTGTTGAATGTTTTATAATGAAAGGGTTTTAGATTTTGTTAAATGGTTCATCTATTGAGATGATCACATTTTGTCTTTTTTTCTATAATATATATGGTGTATTACATTGATTGACGTTTTTGTATATTGAACCAAACTTTCATCTCTAGGATAAATCTTTCTTGGTGTAAATTCATGTTTATATGTTGCTAGATTTGGTTTCTAGCCAGACGTGGTGGCACATGCCTGTGGTCCCAGCTACTTGGGAAACTGAGGCGAGAGGGTCCTTTGAGCCCATGAGTTTGAAGCTACAGTGAACTATGATTGTACCACTGCCCTCCAGTCTGGTCCACAGAATGAGACCCTGTCTCTTGAAAAAAAAAATTGATTTGCTGAGAGCTTTTGAATCTATAGTCATAGGAGATATTTATCTGTAGTTTGTGCGTGTGTGTTATTAATATCTCTGTCTGGTTTTGGTATTCGGGTAATACTAGCCTTAGAAAATGAATTAGAAAGTGTTCTCATTTTTTTTTTTTTCTGGTGGGAGCAGAATCTGTAAAGGATTTGTGTTAATATTTCTACAAACCTTTGGATGAATTTACCACTGAAGCCATCTTGATTTTTGGTGCTTGGCCTTTTTCTTTGTGAGAAGTTTTATGATTACTAATTCACCATCTTTACTTTTTTTTTTTTTGAGATGGAGTCTCGCTCTGTTGCCCAGGTTGGAATGCAATGGTGTCATCTCAGCTCACTGCAATCTCCATCTCCTAGGTTTGAGTGATTCTCCTGTCTCAGCCTCCCAAGTAGCTGGGATTATAAGCACGTGCCACCAAACCCAGCTACTTTTTTTGTATTTTAGTAGAGGCGGGATTTCACCATGTTGCCCAGGCTGGTCTCAAACTCCTAAGCTCAGGTGATTCACCTGCCTTGGCCTCCCAAAGTGCTAGGATTACAGGCATGAGCTACCATGCCTGGCCTGTCTTTACTTTTTATAGATATAATTCAGAGTTTCTATTTCTACTTAAGTTAGTTTTGGTACTCTGTGTCTAGGAATTTGTTCATTTCATGTAGGTTGTTTAATTTGGGGGCATATGAATGCTCATAGCTATCCTTATAACTATTTTTAATTTCTATGATGTTGATTGTAATGACCCCTTTTTCATTTCTGATTTTATCAATTTGCATCTTCTGTCTTGTTTTGCTCAGTAATTTTGGTAGAAATGGTCAATTTTGTTGATGTTTTCAAAGAACAAACTTGATTTTGGTAATTTCCCCTAATAGTTTTCTATTCTCCATTTTGTTTAACTCCACTCTAATCTTTATTATTTTCTTCCATCTGCTTGCTTTGGGTTTAATTTGCCTTTCTTTTTTATTTTCTTAATATAAAAATGAGGTAATTGGTTTGACATTTTTCTTCTTTTTTAATATGAGAGCATTGTGGTATAAGTTTTGTTCTAAGCACTGTGTTAGCTGGATCTTCTAAGTTTGAGTATGCTATGTTTTTGTTTTCAGTAATCTCAAAGTATTTTCTAATTTGTCTTGTGATTTCTTCTGTGCCCCACTAGTTATTTAGAAGCGTGTTGTTTAATTTATATGTATCTAGGAATTTTCCAAAGTTATTTATTCCTCATTTCATTCCACTGTGGATAGACAACACACTTTGTATTCTTTCAATCATTTTTAATTTCTCAAGACGTATTTATGGCTTAACATACAGTCTGTTCTGGAGAACGTTCCATGTGCACTTAAGATGAATGTGTATTTTGCTGTTGTTGGATGAATTATTTTATATATGTTAGGTCATTTGCTTTATAGTGTTGTTCAAGTCTTCTTGTTGATCTTATCTTGTTTTTCTGTACGTTACTGAAAGTGAGATATTAAAGTCGCCAAATTTTAGTGCTTGAATTGTCTATTTCTCCCTTCATTCTGTCAGTTTTTGCTTCATATGTATTGGGAGTCTGTTGTTAGGTGCAAATATGTTTATAATTGTTATGTTTTCTTGAGGGATTGGCCCTTTTATCATCATGTAATGTTCTTTTTTGTCTCTGGTAACAATGTTTGTCTTAAAGCCTATTTTGTCTGGTATTAGTATAGCCACCCCTGCTCTTTTATGGTTACTGTTTGTATGGTATATATTTTTACATCTTTTAACTTTCAACCTATTTGAAATATATTGTGTTTAATTAAACAGCCTCTTGCCATCCTTTTACTTTTACTTTCAACCTATTTGTATTTTTTTTTAAGGCAGGATCTCACTGTCACCCAGGCTGCCATGCAGTGGTATCATCTTGGCTCACTGCTACCTCAACCTCCTGGGCTCAAGTGATCCTCCCACCTCAGCTTCCTGAGTAGCTGGGACTACAGGCACATGCCACCACACCTGGCTAATTTTTTGTGTTTTTGGTAGAGATGGGGTTTCACCATGTTATCCAGGCTGGTCTTGAACTCCTGAGCTCAAGTGATCCACCTGTCTGGCTCCCAAAGTGCTGGGATTACAAGTGTGAGACACCATACCCAGCCCTATTTGTATCTGTGATCTAAGTATATCTCTTGTAGACAGCATACAGTTGGATCATGTTTTTTTAAAAAAATCCATTCTCTGCCTTTGATTGGAGTGCTTAATCCATTTAAATTAATGTAATACCAGTAAAGTAGAATTTACATTTGCCATATTGCCATGCAATTACTATATTTCTTTATTATTATTTGTCTTTATTATTATATATGTCTTTATTATTCTCCTGTTCCTCCATTACCTTTTGTGTCAGATATTATCTAGCATGCCATTTAAATTCCCTTATTAAAACAATAGTTTCTGTTACTATTTTCTAAAATTACTTTATTAGTGATTGCTCCGAGGATTATAATTAACATCTCATAAAAATCAATTTTGGATTACCAGCAACTTACCTTCAACAGTATATAAAAGTTTTGCTCCTATATAGGTCTATTTCCTTCCTCCTCCCTTGTGCTGCATTGCCACTCAAATTATACCTTTACATACTGTATGTCCATAAAAGAAACTCTATAATTAGCTGTTTATGCAGTTGTATTTTAAATTAGATAGAAGAAGGCCAGGCGCAGTGGCTCAGGCCTGTAATCTCAGCACTTTGGGAGGCCAAGGCGGGTGGATCACGAGGTTGAGAGATCGAGACCATCCTGGTCAACATGGTGAAACCCCCATCTACTAAAAATACAAAAAATTAGCTGGACACGATGGCGCGTGCCTGTAATCCCAGCTACTCAGGAGGCTGAGGCAGGAGAATTGCCTGAACCCAGGAGGCGGAGGTTGTGGTGAGCCAAGATTGCGTCATTGCACTCCAGCCTGGGTAACAAGAGCAAAACTCCATCTCAAAAAAAAAAAATTAGATAGAAGAAAAAGAGAGTTATAATCAAAAATCAATTTATATTGTATGTTATATTTACTTACATAGTTACCTTCACTGGGGCTCTTTGTTTATTTTTTTCATGTAGACTCAAGTTATTCTCTGATGTCTTTATTTCAGCCTGAAGGATTACCTTTAGAATTAATTGTAGGTCTTCTACCAATGAATTTTCCCATTAAAAGAAAAAAATCTAGGAATGTATACATTTCTCCCTTTTTCAAAGGATAGTTTTGCCCAATATAAAAATTTTGGTTGATAGACTTTTTCTTTTGGTACTTTGAACCTCCCTGGTTTCTGACAAAAAACCAGCTGTTAATCTTATTGAAGACTTTTTTTGAGACAGAGTCTCACTCTGTCACCCAGGCTGGAGTACAGTGGCTCAATCTCGGCTCACTGCAGCCTCCACCTCCCAGGTCAAGTGATTCTCCTGCCTCAGTCTCCCAAGCAGCTGGGATTACAGGCATGTGCCATCATGCCCAACTAATTTTTTTGTATTTTTTGTAGAGACAGGGTTTCACCAGGTTGGCCAGGCTGGTTTCAAACTCCTGACCTCAAGTGATCCACCCACCTCCACCTGCCAAAGTGCTGGGATAACAAGTGTGAGCCACTGTGATTGGCCAAAGACTTCTTGTATGTTATGAATTGCTCCTCTCTTGCTGCTTTCAAGAATCTCTGACTTTAAATAGTTTGAATTTGATGTATCTAGGCATCAGTCTCTTTGAGTTTCTTCTACTAGAGTTTATCATACTTCTTGAATGCATAGATTAATGCTGTTAATAAAATTTAGTCAGTTTTAAACCACTATTTCTTATACTATTCTTTCTGCCCCTTTCTCTCGCTCTCCTCTCCTCTCCTCTGGAACTACCAGTATGTGTATGTTAATTATGCTTGATGATGTCCTTCAGATCTCTGAGATTCTCTTTTTTTTTCTGTTCCTCAGACTTGGTAATCTCAATTAATCTATCTTCAATTTCACTGATTCATTTTTTTTTGCCTGCTTTAATCTGTTGTTGAATCCCTCTAGTAAGTTTTTTATTTCACTTATTGTACTTTCCAACTCCAGAATTTCTACTTAAAAAAACAATTTCTCTTTCTTTAATGATATATTCTGTTTGGTTAAACATTGTTCTTATACTTTTCTTCAGTCTTCAAGACATGGCTTGTGTGTGCATATGTGTGTGTTTTAACATATTTAAAATTGCTAATTTAAGGCCTTTGTTTAGTGAATCTAACATCTGGCCTTCTTCAGGGACACTTTCTGTCAACTGCTTTTTCCACTCTGTGAATGGACCATACTTTCTTGGGTTTTTTTGCATGTCTTATAATTTTTTTGTTAAAGGTGGACATTTAAAATAATATCACTGAAAACTCTAGAAATCTGATCATTCCTACTCTTCAAGGTTTGTTGTTGTTTCTTCTATTCATTTTTGCTGCTGTTGCCACTTCTGCTGTTTCATGGCTTTCTTAATTAAGTTTATAAAGTCTTTGTCATGTGTGGCCACTGAAATCTATGCTCAGTTTATTGGGCAGCTAATCACTGAACAAATCCCTGAAACCTATAATTTTCCCAGTCTTTGCAATTCTCCCAGCTTATAATTCTGCCTTAGGCTGCACTTCCTGCTTGTGCAGAGCCTCAAGGTCAGCCAGAGGCAAGAGCTTAGGGCTTTCTCAGGTCTTTCCTAAGCATGTCCAGTACTTGCCCTGTACTTCCCTCTTTAACCAGTAGAATGTGATAGAAGTGACACTGTATGACTTCCAGGCCAAGACCTTAATAGCCTAGTAGCTTTCATTTTTGCCCTCTTGGAATTCAGCTACCTGGAAAAAAAAAAAAAAAAAAAAAAAAAACCTGGGCTAAGCCACTGAATGATGAAAGAGCATAGGAAGAGAGTGAAGTCCTAGCATTCTATCCACCCCTGCCAAAGCCCCTGAAATGTGGATAAAGCCATCTTGGACTTCTGTCTAGCCTAGGCATTAACTAAATGCAGCTGCATGAATACGTCTGGAATAGAAAAGCCCATTTTTTTCATTTTATTTCTATATCATTCCCTGCTTTTCTATGTAGAGCAAATGATATTGGTTTTCTATTTGAGGTTGTGATTATATATATATATAATTACATATTTATTATATATCATTTATAACTGTATTTAATATATAATTATATATATTATATTGTATATTTTATCATTATAATTATATATTCATGTATATATTTATATATGAATATAATTATATAACAATATATAATACATAGTTATATATTATACATAATTATTTATATAACTATTTGTATTATATTTATATAAAGTATATATTAATTATAAAGTATATAATATATGTAAAATATAATTTTATAAAGTATATAATATTATATAAAAATGTATATTTATATAAATGTAATATTTGTATTATATTTATATAAAGTATATTATATATTTATTTTATGTAATAATATATATAATTTATATACTTTATATATACTTTATATTTATATATAATATACTTTATATTTATATATAATAAATATATAATATACTTTATATATTAAGTATGAAAGTATATATTTATGTACTTAATATACAAAGTATATATTTATTATATGTAATAATATAGTATATATATTATTTATATACTTTATATAAATATAATACAAATATTACACATCAAATATATTTTTATATATTATACACGTTATATAAATATAATACAAATACTATATTTATATAAATACATATTTTTAAACCCTAACTCCAGATTTTTCCCTTGGGTGGGCTGAGGAATTGTTTTCATGGTTTAAACAAATTTGAGCTGGAGCTATGCATTCTCTAGTTTAGACAATGACTTCCAAACAACATGAAACCAGAGAGCCCTGAGAGATCAAAGGCTGTACAGAATCCCAGCACTTGAAGATTCTTTAAGAAGTGACTTTACTTGAACCAAAGACCACTTACTGGCCACCACACCATGTCCCCCCCAGCCAGGAAGTAGCCTTTCACTGTGTCTCTTTTGGTCTTCACTGTGGACTGTAAAAAAAGAAGAAAGGTGAGTGAGGGAGATGTTAGCAATAAGTTGCATCAAAATGGCCTAGGCCAGGGATCGCAAACTGGGAGTCCTGAGGGCCAGATTCAGATACAAAATATATTTGTTTCTCCCACAGTTTTTGAGAAAATTTTAATTTGGGTGTCTTTAGAGGAGACATAAACTTTTCAGGTCAACATAGCCCCTGCCACTTGTTGCTACAAACATTTATTTTATAATAACCTACTTGGGCTCCCTAGACATTTGATTCTCAGGCTCATGGCTTGTCTATGATAGTTTATAACTGATACCATTTATTGAGTGTTTATTTTGTGCCAGACACTGTGCCAAGTACTTTATATGCATTACCTAATTTAACCCTTACCAATCCATATGAGGTTGATGTCATTAGGCCAAAATGATAGAGGAAGAAACTGAGGCTCATGTCTCAGTCTATTTTGCACTGCTATAACAAAATACCCCAAACTGGGTACTTTTTAAGCAATGGAAATTTGTTTCTTACAATTCTGGAGACTGGAAAGTCCAAGATCAAGGCATCAAGAGGTTTGGTGTCTAGTGAGGGCCTGTTCCTCATAGATAGTACCTCCTCTGTGTCTTCACATGCCAGAGGAATGGAAGGGAAAAAAAAAAAAAAAAAAAATCCGAGGGGGTGGTAAAACTAGTTTCCTTGAGCTTCTTTAATAAAGTCTCTAATCCCATTCATGAAGGCTCAGTTCTTTTGACTTAATCACCATCTAAAGGCCCCATCTGCTAATACTGTCTTGTTGGTGATTAATTTTCTCTTTTTTCTTTTGCTTGTTTCTTCCTTTTTCCTTTTTTCCCTTCTTTCTTCCCTTCTTCTCTTTTTCCTTTTTTCCCTTCTTTCTTTCTCTGTCTTTTTCCTTTCTTCCTTCATTTCTTTCTTTTCTTTTCTTTCACGGGTTCTCTCTCTCTGTCACCCAGGCTGGAGTGCAATGGCATGACTCACTGCAACCTTGAACTCCTAGGCACAAGCAGTCCTCCTGGCTCAGCCTCTCAAGTACCTGGGACTACAGGCATGTGCCACCATGCTCAACTAATTTTTGTGCTTTTCGTTGAGATGGTATCTCACTACGTTGCCCAGGCTGCTCTTGAACTGAGCTCAAGCAATCTGCTCACTTCAGCCTCCAAAGTGCTGAGATTACACGTGTGAGCCACTGCGCCTGAACTTTTGTCTCAAATGTTAATGTCCTTAATATATAAGGAGCTCCAGGAAATTAATAAGAAAGAGAAGAAGAACTTAATAAAAATAAGGCAAAAGATATGAAGCCATAGTTCACATAAAGGAAATATAGTGGTGTTTAAACATATGTAATGGGACCCAGCCTTATTATAAGATAAATGCATATTAACAATACCTTGAGATATTATTTTTCCTAGTCTGAAAAAAGTGAGTTTGACAATACATTGTTTGTGCGAATGTGACAAAACAGACTTTCTCATCATTTCTGATGTATACCCCCAAGGAGTGCAATTTGACACAAACTAGCATAATCACAAATGTGTGTATTTTTTAACTGGACAATTCTGCTACAGGGAATTTATCCTATATTATAGCTATACTCCCAGATAATTAGTGTACAGAGTGTGTTATTTATTTATTTATTTAGAGGTGGAGTTTCTCTCTTGTTTGTCCAAGCTGGAGTGCAATGGTGCCATCTCAGCCCACTGCAACCTCCCTCTCCCAGGTTCAAGCGATTCTCTTGCCTCAGCCTCCCGAGTAGCTGGGATTCATGCCCAGCTAATTTCTGTATTTTTAGTAGAGACAAGGTTTCACTATGTTGGCCAGGCTGGTCTCAAACTCCTGATCTCAAGTGATCTGCTCACCTCAGCCTCCCAAACTGCTGAGATTACAGATGTGAGGCTCCACGCCCAGCCGGAGTTTGCTTATTTTGGTACAGTTTGTTATAGTAAGAGATTGGAAACAATCCAAATGACCCTCAGCCTGAGACTAGTTTAATAAATTACCACACAATTATCTAAGGAAATATTGTGCAACTATAAAGAAGATAAGGAATGTCTATGTGCTGATGTAAAAAGATATCTAAAACGTACTGAGAAGTGAAAAGTAGCAAGTTAAAAACAGTATAAGCTGTCTTCTGTTTAAGAAAGCAGGAAATATGCATATTAAAATTTGCTTGGATTTGCATAAAGACACGAACAATATGCTAATATGCTAACAAGCTAATAATAGTAGTTACCTGTGGAGAAAGGACTAATATTGAGATTTTTCGTTGCTTGTCATAAGTGATTTTTATTTTTGAACCATGTGACTGTATTGCCTTTAATATTTTTCTTTAAAGTTAAAAAAAAAAAAAAAGCTGGGCTGCTTGTAATCCCAGCACTTTGGGAGGCCAAGATGAGAGGATTGCTTGAGCCCAGGAATTTGAGACCTGAGCAACATACTGAGACCCCATTTCTACAAAAAAATTTAAAAATTAGCTACCTGGGACGCTGAGGTAAGAAGATCACTTGAGCCCAAGGAGTTGAGGCTGCAGTGAGCTATGATCACCACCACTGCATTCTAGTAGCCTGGGCAGCAGAGAGAGAGCCCATCTTAAAAAAAAAAAAAAAAAGAAGAAGAAGAAGAAGAAGAACGTGAGCTTCAAAGTAAGGGAGATAGCTCTCCTCCTAACTTACTTACAGGATGAGGATCTTAAATTCTTTGGGCCTCTGTTTCTTTCCTTATCTGTAAAATGGGTATTATAATAGCATCTTTCTCATAGGGGCCTGTGAAAATTACATGAGAAACATAAGTGAAAATGCTTAACACAGTGTCTGACATAGTCCACACCCAATGCATGTTTAAAATTTTAGAGTGCTGATTACTCTATAAACTTGGGTTACTTTCTTCTGCTCTCAGTATCTTAGCTCTGAAAGGATGAGGTTAACTCCGGACTTCTGAATAGACATTTCCTTCTCTCTTCATCCCCCATCCCCCAGTGGCCTTGCTTACCCATAGTCCAACAGCCAGGACAAAGAGGAAGTACAGAACCAGCACCGCGATGTCCCCAGCCTCTAAGCCCTTCTGGGGAAAGGCATCCAAGGGATCTGACTGCGGAGGCTGAGGGCTGCTGATGCTGCTCTCCATGGTCCTGAATGAGCCCTCTGGATCCTGAGGAAGTGTAAATGCCAGTCAGATGCCAGATCCTTGCATCGCTCTTCTCACCCTTTCTGTAGCTACCTCACTGGGCCATTTATGAAAGAGGACCCATGTGAAGGGATGTGTGGTGGAGACAGATCTTTAGGGAAGACAGATCTATCCATCCATCCACCCACTCATTCATTCAACAAATATTCATAATGAAGTCACATCAAATCTGTAATTTTGTCACTCACTTGGCAAAATGGAAAGAAGCATAAACAATTGAAATAGTAAAGCCTTGTACTATTTGATGAGAAGTGAGAAGGCGGGCAGCGAGGTTATTCTGGAGGTAGTGACTCAGGCCTGAGACCATTCATAGGCAGGGGTTAGTCCATTCTTGCTGCTATAATAAAATACCTTAGACGGTGTAATTTGTAGATAACATAAATTTATTGCTCATAGTTCTGGATAAAGTCCAAGATCAAGCTGTCAGCAGATCCAGTGTCTGGTGAGGGCTTGTTCCTTAAGATGGTGCTTTCTAGCTATGTCATCACATGGGTCAAGCTGGCTCCCTCAAACCTTATTTATTTTGAGACGAAGTCTCACTTTGGTGTCCAGACCGGAGTGCAGTGGCACAATCACTTTTCTTTTCTTTTTTTTTTCTTCTTGAGAGCGAGTTTCGCCCTTTCACCCAGGCTGGAGTGCAGTGTGTGATCTTTCGGCTTACTGCAACCTTCAGCTTCTGGTTTCAAACCATTCTCCTGCCTCAGCCTCCCGAGTCGCTGGTATTACAGGCTAGAGCCACGAAGCCTGGCTGGTTTTTGTATTTTTAGTAGAGGCTGGGTTTCAGCATGCTGGCCAGGCTGGTATCGAACTCCTGGCCTCAAGTGATCTGCCCGCCTTGGCCTCCCAAAGTGCTGGGATTACAAGCGTGAGCCACTGCACCCAGCCCCCACTTTTTCTTTTCTTTTTTTTAACAGACAAGAGTTTCACTCCATTACTCAGGCTGTAGTACAGTGGCATAATCACAGCTCACTGCAACCTCAACCTACTGGGCTCAAGAGATCCTCCTGCCTCAACCTCCCAAGTAGCTGGCTCTATAGATGCACCACCATGCCTGGCTAGTTTTTCGTTTTTTTTTTTTTAAGAGATGAGGTCTCACTATGTTACTCAGGCTGGTCTCAAACTCCTGGGCTCAAACAGTCCCCCCAACTCACCTTCCCAAAGTGTTGGGGTTACAGACATGAGCCACCACACCTGGCTTGAAGTCTCTTTTACAGATGTGCTAATCCATTCAAGGGGGCAGAGTCCTCATAACCCTAACCCTCCCAAAAGCCTACCTCTTAATACTATTGCATTGGGGATTTAGGTTTCAATGTAAAAATTTGGGGACAGAGGGATATGCACATTCAGACTATAGCAGAGGGAGCAGATTAGAGAAACAGCTTGGAGGCCAGGTGTGGTGGCTCAAGCCTATAATCACCACTTTGGGAGGCTGAGGCAGGAGGTTCACTTGAGTCCAGGAGCTTGAGGCTGCAGTGAGCTATGGTCGCCCCACTGTACTCCAGCACAGGAGGCAGAGCAAGACCTTACCTCAAAGAAACAAACACATAAGGACTAGCCTAACCTAACCTTTCTCTGTGCAAGAAAGTGGGAGGGAGGCCAAGAGTTGGAGACTCCCTTTCAGGGTAAGGGTGTAGGCTCTCAAGGGAGGTTCCAAGCAGGAAAAGCATTCTGGCAGCTTTGGGAGGCAGGGGCAAGGGGACCCTTGTGGGTTTTCTCAAGGGTCAATAAGTAGTGTTCTCATCAAACTTTATAGGGGAGGAGGCTGGCACAGTGGCTCATGCCTGTAATTTCAGCCCTTTGGGAGGCCAAGGCAGGAGGGTCACGGGAGGTCAGGAGTTTGAGACCAGCATGGGCAATATGGTGAAATCCCATCTCTACTAAAAATGCAAAAAAATTAGGTAGGTGTGGTGGGGAGCATCTGTAATCTCAGCTACTCAGGAGGCTAAGGCAGGAGGATTGCTTGAACCTGGGAGGCGAAGGTTGCAGTGAGCCATGATTGTGCCACTGCACTCCAGGGGAGAGAGTGAGACTCTGTGGGGGAGGTGGTGGGAAGGGAAGGCTTTACAGGGGCAGTGATGGTTTTGAGAGGTTAAGCCGTGTCCGAAGTCACATGGCTGGCAAGTGACAAAGCCAGGACTTGAATCCAGTCTGATTTCAGAGCCTGTTTTCAAATACTTCAACCTGCTGCTCCAAAACAGGCCTTGGGGAAAGATGAGGAGCAGAAAAGTGCAGGAAGCAGGTTTAGGTGGAGGTTGATGCTGAATTGGGGAGTGGGGCAGAAGGAGGAGGGAGGAGGGGCGGCGGCTGCCTGGTGAACCAGCCCTCCCCGTCCCCACCCGCCCCTTCCAGACCTCTGCCTGCCAGGCACCGAGAGAGCGGTGGGAGCAGCTCGAGCAGATAAACAAGTTATTCATCACCGCCATGGGGCCCACAGCCAGAGAGGCTGGCACCGATTCTGAGCTCTTCCTGAGTCTCTGGGAGGTGGGGCCCAGCCAGGGACCATGAGGGATGTGGCTCCATCTTCACGGTGGAGACAGGAACAGTGACCAAGGATGCTGTGGAGCCTCAGCCACAGGCTCCCAGGAGGAGCACTTGATGCGCTCCGCTTTCTGCAAATCCATGCAGTAGGTACACCAAGAATCGGCCCTAACGTTTGTTGAGCATGATTTCTATTTGAGTGTCAGGCATGGAACACAGCCCTTTGAGGCAAAAGTGATTTCACCTCTATTTCACAGGTGGGAATCGGAGGCATGAGAGGGGAAACTGAGCCTAACTCAGACATGGCTCTGCCACTTGCTTCTAGGCAACAGTGCCACGGGTGGCATCCCAACACAGGTTTGGAGGTGGCCACTCCTGGCTAGGCTGTCTTTCTTTCCTCCCACCCTTTTCTCCTTCATTCTCTCTTTCTTTCCCACAAATTTCTATTTCTTTCCCACAAATTTCTATTTCTTTCTCACAAATATTATTAGGCAGCAGCTGTGTGCCAGGCTCCATGCCAAGCCCTGCAACTCAGTGGAACACTTATTAGTCACCAGGTGTGTGCCAAGCTGTGTGTTAGGTCTTGTGACTCAGTGGAACAAATGGTATTAGGCATCAACTATGTGCCAGACTCTGTAGTATGCTCTGGGGACTCAGTGAAACAGACAATTATTAGACCCCAGCTAGGTGCCAAGCTCTGTGTTAGGCCCTGGGGACTGAGTGCAACAAACATTATTAGGCACCAGCTGTGTGCCATGCTCTGTACTAGGCCTTGGGGACTCAGTGGAACATTTATTAGACACCAGCTTTATGCCATGCTCTATGTTAGACTCTGGGGACTCAATAGAACAAACATTTATTAAGCACCAGATGTGTGCCATGGTCTGTGCTAGACCCTGGGGACTCCGTAGAACAAACATTTATTAGGCACCAGCTGGCTCCAAGCTCTGTACGAGGCCCTGGGGACTCAGTAGAAGATTTATCAGGCACTGGCTATGTGTCAAGTTCTGTGCTAGGCCCTGGGGACTCAGTGGAACAAACATTTATTAAGTACCAGCTGTGTGCCAAGCTCTGTGTTCAGTGTGAAGGATAAATCAATGAAAAGCATAGACTTGGCTGTGTCCCCTGGGTTTTCATCTCAGTCCCCTGGTCCTGTGTGTACCTGGACCCACTCGGTGAAACGACCCCAGGCACCCTCTGTCTCTTGCACGGTGATGCTTGGCTCCCAGGCTGCCTCAGGAGGGCCTAGCTGGGGGTGGCTCCTTCTTCACCTCTTGTGAAGAACCCTCCCTGTGTGTGGGGAGGATCCACGGCAGCTTGTGTTACAACAAAGGCTTTGTTGGCAAGAACAGCCTACCCTTGAGGTCGCTAAAGCACAAAAGGAAGCTCAGTGGAGCAGGGGCTTCTCTCATCCCTTCCTTTTGGCCGCTGACATAATTTGCTATGGTAGATGTGAAAATTTTCCACACCCCAGGAGATGCGAAAATTTTCCATGCCCCAAGAGATGTGAAAATTTTCCACACCCCAGTGCAAGGAAAAGATCAGAAAATAGGTTCCCAGGCCACATGTGTAGGAGGTGAGCTCTGATTGTATTCGCTGCATTTCATCCCTTAGGCTGGCTTCTGGATGTGCATTATTCTTTATAACTTTTGTGTGTCTGAAACGTTTAGTAATGAAAGAAAAAGAAGGGAAAGAAACAGAACACAATTTATAGCATGAAGCCATCTGCGTATATTAGAAGCACTCAAAGACACAAAATAGTACTATTTTGCCAGAGTGCAGGCGTATTTCCAGACCCATATCGAACACATTAGAGGGGGAGGCAGGACTTGGGGGAGAAACAGAGAGAGACAGAGTGAGACAGAGAGACAGAAAGAGAGAGAGAAACAAGAGAAATTCCCTGCCCTGAACAAAAATGACAGTGACTAATTACACATTTTAATTATGAGCAACAGACTCTCCAGGAAATAGACCTGTCGTGATAAAGTTAAATGCTTTGAAACTGCACTACCCCGGCTCAACTCCCAGCTCTGCCTCCTATGAGCTCCACGATCGTGGGCAGATCACCTCCCTGAGGCTCAACTTCCCACCTATGAAATGAGGTTAGTAATTAGACATACGTCACGGGTGTGTTAAAAGCAGTAGACATGTTCATCATATGTGTGACGTGATTAAATACAGAAATACAAATACTTGGTTTGTTCCTGTCCACTTTACAAAACCATTTTTTTAAAAAAGAAAGAGAGCATGATTTGGGAGGCTGAGGATTGTTTGAGCCCAGGAGTTTGGGGGTTTGTGTGTCTCTGAGAGGGAGGGGAATTGTGTGTGTGTGTGTGTGTGTGTTTGTTTTGATAGAGTCTCACTCTGTCCCCCAGGCTGGAGTGTAGTGGTGCAATCTCGGCTCACTGCGACCTCCGCCTCCTGGCTTCAAGCAGTTCTCTTGCCTCAGCCTCCTGGGTAGCTGGGATTACAGGCATCTGCTACTA